TATATATACATATAATATATTACATAAAAATTTTAATCTTCTTTATATAAATAATATCCAAAATATCAATATTAATTAATTAATTCAGAAAAATATATTCTCAAATATTATTATTGTATTTTTCATCGAAATTCCGTTTTTTCGTATAATAATTTCATAATTATATAGCTAATATTTGTATATCTCATTATTGATATATATATAAATAAAAATTCATTCTATTATTTATAGAAATCCGAATTTCAATCAATAAATAGTAGAAAAGAAATACAATTACGAATTTAGAAAATAATTAATTTTCGGATCTTTATTTTCATGAAATTTAATATTATTTATCGTCTTTCTCAGATATCGATGCCTTAATTTTTATTATATCATCGTACAATGAAAAAAGGAATCTCGCCCACGTTCTAGGGTTTGTGGCCGTCGTAGGGCTTGTGTAAGATCTCGGCCCTCTGTGATTCGTGGTTGCCCGCAGCAGCACCCCACCCAACCGGCCAGACCGCTCTCCGCACACAACAGTTCCCCCCCACCCCTTCAGACCATAGCATTGGCGGGGGGGCTGGGAACGCCAGACGCCTGACCATATGTATATATATATATGTATGTATACATATATCTCTCTCTCTGTCTCTCTCACGTCTTTACCCATACCTATATGAATTTGTTGAATGCCTTCGATTTATATACGACGAATATTCATTCAGGTTAATATCGATATTCTGTATTCTTGGTGAAATTTTACCTTCTTTTTCCATTAATGAGGGTGCTGTAAAATTGGATTCGGTTTGCAATGGGAGTCGTCTTTGGGCTGATTTTGAGCCTTCAAACTCCCGATCGGTCGATGAACTCCCCTTGCTGAATGTATTTCAGAAGGTCTTGGCGTACTGGTTCTGGGGCCTCCAACTCGATTGAATATGCGAACTCACTCGAACTAACACAGTGCGAGCTGTCATCTGCTTCAGGCTTACGGTCGGCAGAGTGCCTTGCCGTCGGGGAAGGCAAACTTGAAGCAGCAAAAGGCTGTGGCCGCACTTGACCTCAGTCGTTGATTCATCGCCGTCGACGGCGAGAGAAGCACCAAGTGTGAGATGTAGCATGCCCACACTGGCGAGGTCGTGCTCTGATTTCCATGCCAGGCACAAGAAGAACAAGATGATGATCATTCCGACTATCTCGAAGTTGTTGTTGAGCTCCACGATAAATTTCCATGACGTGCTGTGGAGACCTTCAGATGGATCTAATTTGGCGGCACATCCGCCAGATCTCTACCAACGTTGCCTTCGTGCGTTGCGAAAGCACCCAGCAGCTCTAGCGCCCCGACGGCTAAGGCGATCCTTGGTTGGATGTAAGATAGCTGTTCAACAAATCATTGCAGAAGACTGCCTGCGCTCACATGCAAGTCCGGCTGCACAGCGGATATTGCTGTCAAGAACATGTTGTAGTACCTCAGTGATGCTGCTTACAAGCTTCCGCAATTTTGTCTGAAACATGTTCAAATCGGCAATCCTGCCACCGACTCCTTCCTTTGAGTGGAACCGGCGTTGCCAAGCTCGAAACACAGCGAACCCCCGGTGAGGCCAGAAGGTTACACGTAGGATTGCTGATCATTCGCAGGTTCCCACAGGACAGTGTCTGGCCAGCTTCGTCTCGATGCTACTACCGGTCCCGCTGAAGTGGGTGCGTTGCATCCCTGCCCGACTCTTTGGCCGGGAAAGTGGAAGACTGCAAATATATCAAATACCCGAAGAACAGGGGGCATGGAGCTCCCGCAGGTTTGCAGTTAGTTTCGCTCCCATCTTCCAGCATCAAGGCCCCTGATGCTTGTCTTGGTGGGCGACTTCTGGTTATCTTCGTTTCTACTTCGCGATCTGAGCATGTTTGCGACTGACATTCTTCTGCCCAAAGCTTCAGCCAATTTACAGTCGCTGCATGCTGCCGTCGGCTCCAGATCCGTAGACCAAAGCCATAAGAAATCCATTGATAGTGTCTATAAGACACATGCCCGCCAAGAACATCAGCGGGAGGAGCATGATGAACACCTTCGCTGCGCACCATCTGAACATCTAAACCACCCTACGTTAACAGAATGCTAGGCAACAAATATCTTGCGGTGGGTGACTGGGTGTGCAAGGCTATGGGAAAGGCCGACCTCGAATGCCAAATCAATAGATTGAGCTTGCAGGAACTGCTACGACAAACCAGCTGCGACTGTAACGAGCTGTAAGCAACCTGTATTGCCGCGTACACTCGCAAACGTGCATGCAATTTGCAGCTTAAGGCTAAGTCTGCGACCATGGCCAGTACTGCAACTTCGCTCGAGGTATCAAAGCCCAAGCCAAATGCAATACCCACGGGATACCTGGTCTTTCGGCAATGAGCGATCTACCCGACGAAGACCGGCACACACACACACACATGAGACAAGTGCCTAGTGCAAGACTAGCGGCATCTGCCATGGAGCTGTGATTCCGGTGAACATGCCCGGGCAGCAGGTCATGCACATGCCAGCCACAGTGTGCTCGTGCTCGCCGTATCCTGGATGCAGTTGTAAGCAGTTTCAAGCATCTGTATTGGTAGCCGGTAGCCGGAGCCCCAGTGTTGCCAAGTGTCTGCTCTGCTCCTGAGACGGACACGACGCAAGCTGCTACAGCAGAAAAGACGGTAGACTAAGGACCGGTCTTTCCACGACTGCACTTGCCGCCGCAGAAGGAAGAAATTGACCACCTGCTCAGTTCGAAGCCTCTTCGAATCAATACCAGCATGTTCGTCCGTTTTTTGGGGAAACCGGGCGCGGGACAGCAACGAAGATGAGCCCGAACTGAAAAACTGTAGTATAGTTTGCCTATCAACAACTGCCGTTAAGTCCAGCGATTGCTCGACAATCCTAAACCAAAGCTCTTTGAACAAAACATCAAGGGTCCTCGGAGGCAGCGAGAGACAAGTGGACAGCGTAACAGTTGTGGAGGCAGCAAACATGGCTGCTCGGCCCAGAGCCTTCTGTTCCCTATCAGTACTCGGATTGCTGTGGGCCGGTTTGTTTTGTCATCCCACCCAACATCTCCGCTTAGCCTGGGTTGCGAGCCGACACCTCGTTTTGGGGTGCAGGGTTGCCAAGCATCTGAGGGTTAGAGCTTCCCACCAACAAACTCCTTTAGGGTTCAGGGTTCAGGGTTCCCGTCCGGCATCTCCATTTAATTTGCAAAATACCTGCAGCAGGGCCCAGCCAGCCGGAAATCATTTTGGGAGACGGCGGCCATGATGACGAGGCGGTGCTCACAGCAAGCAGCAGGGATCTCACATTGAAAATATTCAGCATGGACAGTACACATGCACGCGGAAAGAGCGGCGGATTGCATCAGGAGTCAGATCCCGCTCCAGAAGCTTGAGTGTATCGGAGTCGTGTGAGGCCACAGGCTTGATGAACCTTCTGCCGCTACTCCGCAAGAGGTCTAGCCAACGTCTCCTCGTTAGCACATCTCCTGCCTGCCCCGGCCAACCTCTTAAGAGCTTAGCGTATCCCACAACACATCTGTATCTCTGCCGACTCGCCATGCAACCAAAAAAACTCGACTGGGATTCAGGTGCTCATCCAACACCCACTTCAAGAACTTAAATAGCAACGCAACACCTCGTTCTGGGGATTAGGGTTGCTGCATTCTGGGGGAAAACGAACTTGCATTCGTGCTTGGCTAACCTATTCCCCCTTATTGTAGCACGTGCTTCTGGAGCTGTGTCTCGAGTTTCCGGCTGGGGAGGTGGAATGCCAGGGACTCTTGCAGGCTGGACGAGAACTGTGGAATCAGTTCTACAGCGCAAATCTGAGAATCCAGCTGCGATGGCCACCAAGAAGCCTCGAATGGGTCAGGGAAAGACGTGCACCATTGTTGGCCTCTTAGACATCACTTGGAGCCCATTCTAGGGTAAAGACGCCAACCGGTGCTGATTCCGAAGGAGACAGACTAATTCTGCTTGACTAAGGCGGGAGGCTACCTGAGATTGTAGCTCCAAGAAGACCACCACTCGATTCTGCTCTCCTGCTTCACACTTGCTTCAGAAGATGCCAGCGCGGAGTTGCTTTCGGACGCAAAGCGAGTCCTCACGGCTTCATGCACCTGTGG